ATCCACATCAGTCGTTTTAGGCAAACTCTTGTGTCACATCCTCAGTCCCCATGGCTCCAAAGGTGAAACTGCTCTATCAAGATTACCTTAATGATTTTTGAGATGATGAAACTGTTTGCCAAGATGGAACTTCTAGATCTGGCTCACATGCAAGAAATATTAAAGGTGAACTGTCTAATCTAAAAGTGTGTGTGTGTTAGACAATCGTTATTACTGTGGAGTCCTTGGAGTTCTCTGAGCTTGGCTGTTTTCTTGCAAATGTTTCATGACCTGGCTAGGTAACATCTTCAGTGCTCCAGGGCGCCATAATTGCTGTTCCAAATACTGCAGTTCCATTTCAAGATGGCCAATCCAGACAGTGGCCATTTTATCCTATTGGCAGAAACAGAAGGAAGGTAGGATGGGAAGTAGGATCATTCTACCTCCTGTACTGAAAACCATCTCCATCCTGTCCCCCTGCTCTGCTCCTTGTATCCATAGATAGGCAAGAAGGGCAACTTAATAGAAATATGTATTGATTTATTTCTAAAAGAATAATGGTTTCTTAGTCCTTTCTCAGGTTTGCAAAGAATTACAGCCTCATTTTTTATTTTTTTTTTAATTTACTCTCATACATCTTTGGAATTGCAATCTTTGGAACAATCCTATGATGGAGGCCAGAATTATTATCTGTATCTAAGTAAGAAAAAGGATGATGGATGGGGCTTTGAGCTTGTAACTTTTTAGATGAAGAAAGATGTGAACGTATATATATACTTTATCAAAATTTTACACATAAAATAAACATAAACACACAATACACAAATGTGGACAGAAACATAAACTTGCAAATACAAAACTAAACATCTAACTTAGAAAACATATAATCTGCCCTTCACTTTCCTCATGGATCAATTCACCATTTCTTATTCTTTTATACCACTGTCATCACTATTTAATTTTTCTGTTATCTTCCCTTATTTAATCTATAAAACCCTTGATCATCAAGCTACTTTTCTCAGCTTTTACAATATAATCCATAAATGGACTCCAGTCTTTAATAAAAGCCCCTGTAGATTTCTCTCTCATTAGATGTGTCAGTTTTGCCATCTCTGCCAAATTCATAACGTTAAATATACAATTTTCAACATTTGGAGCTTCTTTATTTTTCCATTTCTGCTCATATAATAATCTTGCCGCAGTAATCGTATACAACAATAAGACACCATGCTTTTCACTCCGTTCTTCCATAATCCCTAGTTAAGTACAGTTCTGCTTTAATAGAATGTTTTGGTTTTTCCTGAGCAGCTATGTACATTTAATTCAATTTACATTGTTTAAAAAATTAAATTTTGTAAGTGTGATGTTAGGTTTGTGTCTGTCTTTTTAAATCATGTTGGTGCTTTTAATGTGCTTGTAATGTTCTTTTTTTAATTTTGATCCTTGAGTGTTTTTTTTTTTTTAAGTTGTCTGGAGGAACATTCATCAGGCAGGACTAGAACTCATGGTCTCCTGATTTCTAGCCTGGTATTTTTAGTTACTATACCAAATTGGGTCTCTTGTAGCTTTAGCCAAGACCTTTTCTACATTCACACACCTTTAAGACATGGAGAGTTAAACTGATTTCTCTTCCTGGGAATTTGGAGTGAGATGGCTATTGAGATAAGGAAGACAGTTGCCAAAATGGAAATGGTAGAGCAGGCTAAGATCCAAGCAGTATTGAAAAGAGAAAATATTATTTTCTCAAATATTGTTTGAGGACATTCAGGGAGCAATCCTTTTATCCAGCAGGAGCAGGAGGAGGTTAAGGAAGTATGGGGTCACTGAAAGGATTAATTTGCCAGATATATTTATTTACCAAATTTATAGGCTTATATGATTCAAGACTTTCCACTCAAGGTGTCCCTTAACTTAGTCCAACATCTTCATGACTATACCAGTTGCATGTTGGGGAAATACAACAATGAAATACAATTAGGAAAGTTAAACAGATCTGGAAAATAATTGATATCTGGCTGCATGGAAATTTTATAGAAAAATGTTTTTTGGGGGGGAATGAGATTTTCCATGTTTTGCTGACTT